CCTTACTTTGGCGTTGTTATGCGTTAACTGCAAATAAAGCCGCTTATCTTTGCTCTTCGGTCCCACTCCGATGAGTACACCCCCAGCGAGATTGCCCATCTGGACTACATCTCGCAATTCACCAGCGACATCCGCCACATCGATGACACGAAGAATGAGGTGGCCGACTTGCTGTCCAGAACTTCCCTCTGGAAGGCAGGCATCCCGCCATTGCAACTGCTAATTATGTCCAGCACGATTTGACGCAATTTGCAACTACTGCTTAGCGCCCACACTAGACGACTATATAACTGTATCAGCACTTTGACATTTTAACTGTTCTTTGTACATTTTTCTCAATTCTGACGACAACCCGGGGATGCATTGTAAAAAATTTGCTGAATAAATTTATTCGTTTTCTAAAAGGACGCCTTTCCTTGAAATTACCTTCCCTCTCTACCTTCCAACTTTCGAAGGGGATCGACCTTAGTGCTATGACTGCTAAGCAAACACGAGTAGGTTGGCATTGAGAAGAATCTTTGGCTAATTGAGAAGGGCAATCGATGATGCGATTCCATGCCAAGAACACCTCAAGCCAAGCCGAGTCGAATACCCTGGATATACGGAAAGCGACTACGTACCCGGTCTAGTGAAGAAGAACAATAGGAGGAAAATGTCCGCTATTGAAGCAACATGCAAACCACTTAAAGTCTAGCGGGAAACAGTTGTACGCCAACTTAATCAAAAGGTTATAAATACAAGTTACAAAAATGTGTAACGGCTAGAATTAGTCTGGAAGGTTGTGTACAAATAAAAATACGGTAAAGTTATAAATGCATACAAGTTTGGCAAAAGGCTACCATAAATCTGTTAGTGGTCTCTAGCTCGCAGACGTTCCACTCACCACCGGGACTGGCAACATCCTCTGTAATTTCTCGACTCATTTTCATCTCCCTTTTTTGCCGCCTTTGATGCGTCGAGCTGTGCTTCACATTCTTCATGGACTCTCCCACCCTGGGATACGAGCCTCACAGAAGCTCCTTGCAGAACAATTTGTCTGGTCTGGCATGAACAAGGACGTCAAAGCTTGGGCTCGGTCGTGCCCGAATTGCCGATGGAACAAGGTCCAGTGCCACAACAAGTCTTCACCCAGCACCTTCTCTAGCTCCGACGCTCGTTTCAGTCATGTGCATCTCGATGTCTTAGGTTTGGAGTGCCTTAACACACCGCGATAGACCCTTTGTCCCCATCCAACGGTTTCACTCATCTGCTTACCTGTGTCGACAGCTATACCCGCTACATCCGCTGGGCCGAAGCCACACCCATGTTGAACATCTAAGCAGACACCATCCTTAAAGCTTTTGTCATTGCTGGCCGACTTGCTGTCCAGACCTTCCCTCTCTGCACTCCAACTTTCGAAGGGGATCGACCTAAGTCCTATGGCTGGCGAGTAAACACGAGTCGGTTGTCGTAGCGACGAATCCGTTAGTGGTCTCCAGCTCGCAGACGTTCCACTCACTGTCGGGCTAGCATCATGCTCTGTGATTTCTCTACTACTATTCACCGCCCTGTTGTACCACCCTTGATGCGTCGAGCTGTGTTTCACACTCTTCCTGGACTCTCCTACCCTGGGATACTAGCCTCGCATAAGCTCCTTGCTGACCGGTTCTTCTGGCCTGACATGAACAAGGACGTCAAAGCTTGGACCCGGTCGTGTCCGAGTTGCCAACAGAACAAGGTCCAGCGTCACAATAAGTCTCCGCCCGGCCCCCTCCTTAGCCCCGACGCTCGGTTCAGTCATATACATGTCCATGTCATAGGCCTTTTGCCTCCATCCAACTGTTTCACTTATCTGCTTACCTGTGTCGACCGCTACATTCACTGGGCCGAATTCATTCCCTCGCCGAACATGGAAGCAGGCACTATCGTTGAAAATTTGGTCAGTCGTTGGATCGCCGTTTTTGGTGCCTCATCCACGATTATGACTGAACGAGGTGCCCAATTCAAATCTACACTCTTCCAAGCCTTCCTCAACATTTCGGCCTTAAATGTACTTATTCAGACCGACCTTTTTAAATTTCATGGGTAAGAAAAGTCAACTTTAACCCTTTTGGCTGGGTTTTTCTGTGAAGTCAAATTGGTGCATTTTAAATGTATCATATTATTCGAAAAGGCCATCTGATTAATAGTAATGTTAAGTAATACAGACGACGATGACACGACCTACATGATAATTTTGGCAGGACTGTGCCGGTCTTACAGCCAACCGCCTCCAAACGCGAGATGCCACTGACGTATCTTCCCGGGGTAAATCTTGGTCTCGCCCAGTCGACAGCGCGGTGGCCACAAGCACACGC